CAGATTATGCAGAGAATGGAGATACTTCAGCCCAAAGAACCGCCATCAAACTTCATCATCCTCCAGGTGGAAAATCATCGGGTGGATTCTGGTAGACGAGCGAATAAATAAGTCGGCAACAAGTACGAACTGGTTGCTATCGGTCGGGATCTGTATTATTCAGCCAAATGCCGATCAGAGACGATTTTTTGTTGTTGAGAGGCTTGAATATCATCAACAACAACGTGACCCAGGAGAATGTCGATCAGAAAGGAAGCTTTCAACAAAACAAAACAAAAAAAGAAAAATGGTTGCGATTTTTGCTTTTTCCGCATTTGTGAAAATATGTTTTCTAAATGTTGCGCTTGCTGGATTTTTTATGCTTGGTGTTGTGCGGAAGTTTCCTGAAACTGCTGCTGTTTTTTGTTTTTTCTTGCTGTGTATTGAGAAAAATGTTTTATCGCTTCCGGTCAATCTGTGAATAAAGTCAGCTTCACCCACAGTTTTCATTGGTGTCATTCATTTGCACAGTATTTTGTACGTGCATTGGTAAAATATTCCCAATGCTTCCATTCTCAACTGCTAATAGTTCGCTTATGCTGAGCTTCATTTACAATGGTACCTTTTTTTTTTCAAAATCGCAGTAATATTTACAGGGAAAGTTTTTGAATGCTGTACTGTAGATTACAATACAGTATAGTCTAAAAGCTAAAATACAACTATGCATACTTGTACCTGCTGCAAATGAGTACAGTATTTCATCAGTGAAAATACCATATTTACTTGAGTACCACATGCACCTCTTTTCTCAAATTTCAGAAGAAAAAAAGGGGTGTGCATCATAAGTGGGTACAAAATTTTCAAGTTTTAGGAAGTTAAGTGTAAATTATACTTGATTATAATGGAGAAATTTATGACAAATTTACCAAGAAAACTTTTTTATTGAAAATTTGAAAATTGATCAGATTCATGTTCAATTCATGTCTAAAGTCAAATTTTTTGTTTTTATTTTCAAAATTGTGTGGGTTCAGAGTCACTAAAAATGGGGTGCGCGTCTTACTTGAGGATACAATTTTAGCCAAATTTTGAACTGAAAAACCCCTGTGTGTGCCTTACTTGAGGGCAAGGAGTGCTTGAGTAAATACAGTGATGAGAAAACTTATTGTACTGTATCTACTTTGGCACACACCCAGGAGGATGAAGCGCAGCACCTTAGCTTTTTGGGATGAAATTTGCCCTAACATGCATTTCCACCAAAAAGGCAAGTACAGTCAACCCCCATCTCATGG